TTTCTAGGCAGAAATCTAATACTTTTCAATTACCATTGTACAGCAAGAAGTTCTTATAAAAGAATCATTAATTTATTCGTTTTCCATAATATAAATGAGCTTTCTTTGGGCAAAGTCTCATTTGGCCAACTGGTTTATGACAATGAGCCAACCTTTTGGAAGTAGCCATCAATAACACGCGAAACCCCCGACCTCTCGGCCATCGGGGCTAAGCTTTAAAGTCCTCAAGTGTGCAGAAAAAATTTATACGAAATAAGAGATACAAAAACAGTCGTCTCTGGACTGTTCACAGTTAAATGACTATGCGACGGCCTCCCTGGGGCGGCTCTTTATTGACAAATCCCCATCGATCGATCGATAAACATGCAAGACAAATAGACAAAAACTTCCGCACGGCTCTCGGGAGTGTAGCGACAAGCTTTAACCTTCCAAGGTCCGCTCCCATCTCAGATCTGGCATCTAGCATCTCGCATCGCGGATCTTGGATCGGCTGAATGATTGATTTTATGTATGTGCGCGCCTGGCATAAAGTCACTCAATAAAATTACAAAAAAATGCGTCGTCGCGCGGAGAACAAAGACCGCTGGCATCTGCCCAGATTGATGGGCCCGTCTTACTGACCAACTGGCCAAGTGGCGGCATGGCCAAGTCGAAGATGGGACACTCTGCCGACCGATAAGGTCAATGGATCGCCCTTGTCGCTGGGCCCGAGAGTCCCCGCACAGATTCCAGTTGCAGTTCCAGCCGGGCCCTTGGGGTTAGGGTATAATGATAAAATCACGCAGCAGCAGCACAACGGAAGTATGTGCTCGTATCTATTTTTGTGACTCGGCCTGTCATCGCTTGGTTCGTTGTCGACAGCTGCCCCGGAGCTGTTACAACAATGCGACTTCAATTAAAGCAGGCCGGGGTAACCTTGAACTCTCGTCTCGAGCGGTTTGCGCGCGTTCAATCAACGGCATCGGGCTGCTCATATCGGAGCCATGGACCACGACATCCTTCTGGCCACAGTCACAACCACATGCACATGCACATCCACATCCAACGAAGCCGAGCCCCAAGAGAGGCCTGAGCTGCAGCTGAAGCTGTCAATCTGCGTTCATTCCTTGCCTGCGATTTTGAGTTCGCGGCTGCGGCAATCATCGAAAGATGCTGGCCTCTGACTTGGACCCTTTCCGCCCCTATCCCGATCCCGAACTCAATCCATTCCGATCTCGATCCCGATCGAGAGCCCTGCCCCTGGCCGCTTTTGGGGCAGGCTCATTCCTCGGCGTCAACGCCGTTAGCTGTCGTTTAGTTTATTGTTGCAAATTGCTCAGTGAATTATGTGCCGAACTGCTTACTGCCAACGACCACACACGCATGTGTTGTGTGTGCTGTGTGTGCTGTGTGTGTGTGTGTTGCTCATTTGAAGGCTTGGCAGGAAATTTGATATAATGGATTTATTCGCTAAATCTTTCGATATTTTCTGCACTGTCAGTCTCCCGTTTCTGTTTTTTTTTCCTTCTTGGAGCACATAAATTTATGATTTATTATGATTTTGGTTCAAGTGCTTGGCTTTTGCATTGAGATATTTAAGTGGAAACGGAAATTGACATTGGTAGCATAAAGTTTGTTCTTAGCAAATGATTTAAATACAAGTTCGTTTCCTAAGTCATTTGTTTTTCAAGCCCCCTTTTATTATCTAGAAACAAGTTCGTTTCCTAAGTCATTTGTTTTTCTAATGGTTTTCTCTGCTAATCTAGATAGATAGATAGATGTTAGATAAATATAAAATAATCCACTTCATATATTGATTTCTAGAATAATAAAAAGTTTAAGAACCATGAAATCGTTATGATTGGATCGATTTAATGATTTATTGACTCTGAAGCTACTTTTCTAAGTAATCCTTTCTGCTGAATCAGTTTGACTCCAAATGGTAAAGACTTTCTGTGCGACTGATTGAGAATAGATTCCATCTCGTCTTAGTGGCAAGACATCTCATGATTTGCCTCTCCTTAAGCTGTCAACTATCCGGCTGGATCAAGTTCGTTGCCCAAGTCATTTGCTCTTCAATCGAGGGAGCAAAAAGAATAAAAAAGGGAAATACTTTTGATTTTGCTCTTGCCTCACACTGCCTTATGTAAATTTTTTGTAGCTCCTGCCCACATGCAGCTCCAGTTTTTTCTTTCTTTGCCCTTAATCAAGCTGGAACCCTTGCTGTCGCAGTCACTGTCGCTGCCTTTGGCTCACTTCACTCAGCCTGGGCCTGGGCCTGGGCCTGGGCCTGGGCCTGGAGTCGAAGAGTCGAAGAGTCAGCGAGACAACTACACAACCCACACACATGTTCGGGGATCGGATCGGATTGAATCCGATCGGATCGGATCGGATCGGGTTTGGTTATGGAGTCTGGAGTATGGAGTATGGGCATGGGTCTGGGTACGATAATGGCAGCGATTGCAGCTCTCGGGTTGATGTTTGCTCCGTTTGCTTGTTAAGCTCTGTGCCAACTTTGATTTCGTTGTACTTTGTGTGTCTCCAGACATTTGTCTTTTGCTCTTAAGGTTCCAGCCTGCCGCTGTTGCTCTTTTCTTGGCTTGGTTTTGTTTTTATTTTCGGTTTTCCTCAAGTTTTTTTCTCTCGCTGTTACCCCTCAAATGCACTTTCAATTGCAGACAGTTTGACGTATATATGTGTAGACCAGAGCCAGAGCACTATATCTCTCATTTATCTATCTATATGCGAACCTACCTATATTTCGTCTGTCGCTGGCTTTCTTTCAAGCGAAGACCGAGTCTCGGAGTCGGAATTGGAAGTGGAATTGGAATTGGAATTGGAACTGAAATCGGAATCTGAGGCCCAGTCTTGGCCCGGGCTGCCCACAGGCACTTTGGCTTGTGGGCCGTCGCGGCTCCAGCACCAGATTCGGCTGCAGTTTCAGGCTGAGCTCCGGCTTTTGGATTGGTTTCAGCTGCACCTCGGCTTTGGGTCTGTGTCTGCCTTCGCCTTTGCCTTTGGCTGTGCCTTCCTGCGTGGCTCACATACTGAGTCGGATTTGGAGTCGTCGTCAAGTAGCTGCCATGTAAAACGCTTCCTACTTGGGCCCAGGGGCGCATTGTTATAATTTGGTAAATTATTGCATTGCTTATACCCTAGCTAAGGCATGATCAAGGATTTAAAAGGATTTTATTCCTTGTTACCATTGAGAAGGAATTTACAGTAAGGAATTACCTACATTAAGGTGCAGAATATAAATACTACTTGAACTCTAGGAAAATCTTCCTACTTTTCCAATTACCCATATTCATAATAAAAGAAAAATATAAGGTAATTACCCATTACCCAATTGCTCAACACTTTTCACAGAGCATTTCTGCTTCGTTTTCCACTTGAATTACCCTGACTTTTCCTGTCCCATTTCCATTTGCTATGCTTTTTGTGCTGACTGTAATCATAAGTTTTTGATGTATTTACTTTAATTAAATTACGTAAAGTGTTACATGGCTCAAGCACGCACATTTCGGAGCGGCCCTCGGGACTGGGTGCCCCCTCCCCGGATCCCCCACACATATCTTTCCACTTTGCCACACACATAAACAACTCAACTTTTGCTTTCATTAGAAAGCTGAAATGGTTTAAAGCCTTTTATGGCTCGTTGTTGTCTAGAAAGAAAAACAAAAACTAATAATCATAATAAATAAAAAATTCCGAAAATATTGTTTTATCTGATTTTGTCAGACAGTTTGTAAATTGCCAAAAATTGCACAGAAATCTGGCTTGGTTTATATTGACGCCTTTTGTGGGACTTTGGCTTTGACTCGTTTCACTTGCTCTTCGTTTGGTTTGAGGCCGGGTCGTGACCGTTTCCACATCGACACCGACAATGACACTTAACACCGCCTAATGGGCCAGATGTGAAATTTCAAATAATAAATTTCCGAGCTGTTGATGGCTTTATTTGCATCGTTAGAAATGATTAAAGCCGCAGCGCAGCGACAGAGTCGCAGAGCAGTGGCAAAAATTTAATCAAAAGACTTAAGCCACGAACTTGGGACGTTCTCACAACGAAAACGAAAGCCGGGAAGAGCGAGACAGCCAGAAGCAGATAAAGACAGACAGAGATATCTGGAGAGATAGACGGACAGATCGCCGCATGTGTGCTCTTTTTACACTTGGCTTACACGGCGTCGGGAAAATTAATATGCCAAACAATTACACGGCCTGGCAAAACAATTTTAAGCCCAGTTAATGCCGCACAGTGGTTGGGAATTACGCAAATTCAGCGCGAAAAATATATGTGCCACAATTGCGGCAAACAAAAAAAATGAAAGCGCACAAATTTGCATACAAAACAAATGAATCGGATCCAAATGAAAATTGCCATCCATACTAATTGGCAAAGAAATGCAAATGGAAAAGCAATGCGAAATGAAAACAATTGCAGGGGATCGGCTTGCAACTAAACTTAAAAGTGATGAGAGATCAATGTATAATTATTCAGTGAAATGACTCTTCAGTAAATTTATATTTATTACTTGCAAAAATCATTAAAGAGTTTTATAGAATTTCCCTGTTAATATTCGATATTTAAACTGAATTTTATGATGCTCAGTATTTAAAACCTGTAATTTTCCTATTGTCATTTGGGTCACTGTGCCTTGGCTACCGTCTGGTGGAGCTGGAGAGCTGGAGCTAGAGCTGCTGCCTTTGAAAGTTAAGACTTTTGCTTTTTCTCTTCCCCCCGGTTTTGTGACTGCTTTTAGAAAGAGCGAACGTATGGATAAACAAAAGTTCAAGAGGTTGCCTGCACATGAGGCAAGAAAGAAAAGAAAGTTATTACAAAATTACCAGAGAAGACTGACAGCTGACAAGGGCCGTTTGGAGGGAGGTGACAGGTAGGAATGGAATGGAATTGTTTCCATCTCCATGAGTTCGGTACAATTGCTCCACGGGCAGAAATTGTGACAAATCGTAAAGGTATTCCAAGTACACAAGTAATGGATCAGAGCGGGACTTACCACCTCCGTTGTTGGCACTGGAGCAATGCTTGGAGCTGAGTCCTTGGCCCGTGTTCGAGGCCGAGTTGGGCAGCCCACAGCCGCTCATAACGCCGTACTTGATGGGCTTGAAGTGGAAGAAGGACGGCGAGTAGCCGGAGCCGGCACGGCTCAGCGAGCTAAACTGCTCCTCGCGGTCCTCCACGTACAGGCCCTCCTTGCCCATGGCCGCCAGCTGCCTGCCCTTGGGCATGAACATCACCAGGAAGACGGTGGCCGAGGTAGCCACCAGTCCGAAGGCGATGCAGGCATCCTTGTGCCGCTCGGCCACCGCCAGGCCGCACAGCATCCAGCCCAGCCAGATGGGAATGGCTCCGCCAATGGCCAGGCCAATGTAGGTGGCCTCCCGATAGTTGTCCCGTATGCCACGCGACTTGATGGCCAGCACGGCGATGAAGACGATCAGGAAGACGATGTAGATCAGCGAGAAGAGCAGCTCCGAGAACTGGGTCTTGCACAGCGGGATCAGCACCGTGCTGACCGCAGCTATCCGGGTATAAATCTCCGGAGTTCCGTCCAGCGTTGTGTACGATGTGGGATAGAACAGGGCCGAGTAGTTGGTCTGTGAGGCCACTGTGGTGCTAAGGAAGCCGCTTCCCATTACGGGCACACTGGTGGTGTACACCTCTGGCGGCTGGGTAAGCAGCCACTGGCCACCGATGGCCACCTGGATGAGTAGAGCGAAGAGTAGTAGGAGTCCTTGATAAGGAGCCGGCAGGTAGACTCCCCCATTCAGGCTGATCAGGAAAACGCACTTGACCAGGAGGGCGGCGAAGACCAGAGCGTAAGCCACTCCCACACCAAAACGAATCGCTCCACAGCTGAGTAGCGTGGGCTGGGCAGTGATGATTGCTCCCAAGCTGGCACAGGCGAAGAGCCCCAGGAGCAGCATCTGACCAAGGAAGAGGTGACGCCGCGATGGCGACGTGCGCCAGGCCTTAAAGAGCACGAAGATCTCGAAGGCTCCCATCATCAGCATCGTGAGGGTGGCCAGGACGAGCACCGGCACCACCCACGGCTCCTTGCGCAGCCCGGCAAAGGGCAGATGCGTGGAAACCACGCTGGGCGGTGTGCTATTGAAGCTGTTGCTGCTGCTGCCCCCCGGAGGCACTCTGCCCGAGGAGCTGGTCCCAGCTGATCTCGCCCTGGCCCCCAGGCTCCGTGTGGGCGTGGCCGGTGTGGTGGAGCTGCTGCTGCTGGGTCTGCTGGACGAGAGCGTGGGCACCACAAAGAATTCCGTGGACATTTCCAGTCGGGCGGCACTGGACACATTGCCACCCGGAAAATTGAGATCCAATTGTTTGGCTGAACGCTGTGATGGAGGAGTTGCAGGAGTTGTACTCGTGGTTGTGGTACTTGTACTCGTACTGGTACTGCTGGTGGTGGTTGTGGATGTGGTGGTGGTGCTGGCATTCCTGCTGCTCGGCTTGAGCACCTGGTAGGCATTGCGCTCCGACTCCTGGTTGGTCACCAGGCGCACTCGCCGCCAAATGTTGTTCCCATTCACGCTGAGGCTGCGCGACGCCGGCGTGGTGGCGATCAGCTGCAGGATCAATAGCAGGATCACCAGCAGGTGGCGTCTTCCAGCCATTGGTGGTTGGAGTGCACCCTTAGCCCTACGCAACCCTTAACCCTTAACCCTTAAGGCACTCAGATGCGGTGCATCTCTCACGAATCGCACGCGCACAAAATCAACAAACACGCGTCGCGATCGATTCTTCGGTTCTTTAACGAAACTTCAGTCTACGCTTCTCGATTCTTGACTTTGGATTCTCGTCTCTCGGCTCTCAATTATCCACTGGCCTCCACTCGATTCTCGATTCACGATTCTCGCGCTGAGACGTCTGCTCACTCCGATCGACCAACTGCGACTGGCCGGCGAGCTCTGCAAGTCGCACTTTGGTGCCGCTTTGTCGTTTGAGACAAGTTTGATGGCGCACAGTGGGTAGCTTCAAACTTAATAACTTGTGAACCAATACAAATTTTTGAGTAAATTAAATGTCATATTAAAAAGAATTGTTAACCATCAACAAAATAGTTATATTTCAAGGTGCTACTCTTGTTGAATAGTTGCCTTTTACTGAGATTTTTTTTTTGTATAATGCAAAATAGCTCATCTTTGATCTGCTTATAATTCAATATTTGCATTTGTAATCATTTAATTATAAAGTATAATTGGTGTGTCTTCAAAATATACTAGGTAGTCAAGAATGTTTTGACTCTTGCAACAGAATTTGTTCTAGAAACCCCATTGTGCAGCAACCAAGTCGAGCTTACAAACACACTTGTTCGAGTTCGATGTGCGTTGGTAGCTTGGCTCAAAAAGCAGAGCGTTTGGTAATTCTAATAACGGTAAAGTGTTCTCTATTTAAATATTTATTTGTTGGGAAATTTAAATAAATAAAATAGGAATGAAGGGGGTAAGATTTTTAAATTTTACATACTGAAATTAATGAAAATAAAAGGGTTTTTAGAAAGGAGGTTGAGGGATTTACTTCATTGCTGATACTTAAATATTTTAAAGTTTTATTTAGAATAGAAACATTATATATGTAGATAGGTATTATTTAAATTTGATATCAAATTACAGTATTCAAATTGATTTTAAATCATACATGTTAAAAATGGAAAAAGTTCAGTTTAATTGGTGTTTATATGTAATTAGAAAAGATTGTTCTATAAAAAACTGCATAAGTCTGTCAAAGAAATAAGAAATATAATATATATATTATATATATAATATTTTTCTCCCAATTCTTCCAAACTGCAATTAGTTCCAATTTTAGCTTTCAGCTTCCTTACCCACATTGCACTCCACATCCACGACACGAAGAACACTTTCATTCGTTCTGCATACTCGTGTGTGTGGGGATGGGGATGCGGATTGCGATACCAATATCGCTTTATGGCCGGATTCTGCTCGAGTTGGCCTGGTCTGGCCCCTCAGGAAAGTGCTGCGAGCCATTAGCCAAGCGGTTTTGCGGTCGCTTTCAGAGCCACTCTCTTCGCAAATGGCGCAACAAAAGGTGAAAATAGCTAACTTTGCGCACAAAAGGCGATTGTAAATCAAAAGAGCGCTAATGATATATCGATATACCGAGTGTTGAGGTGGGAAAGGCAATATGTTGGCAGCGGCAATAGGAACTCAGCAGCGCTCTGATTCCTTAAGCATTATTGTATTTATTATTGTCTGCTGGGGGCGCGCTTTCGGCGAAAACCACAGTTAGAATTAAGCCCAGTTTAGATCGCCGAATGAGTGGGCAAAAAAGGCTTTAACAAACGGCTTGCATAATAAAGTTCTTATTGTGCCATGTTTGTTTGAAAGTCACACATAATCTCCACAGATTGTGGAAAGGAAAACTAAAGATAGCAGTCTGGCAAGAGATTAAGACTTAAAATGGTATTTATAATAATCTTTGTTAATAATCTTAATAAAATAAAAAAGTTAAAGACGTTTAACCATTGAGCTATTCAATTTAAAGTGTTAGTTTTTACTAGATTTGTACTAAATCAAAAATTTCAATTTTGTGTGAAAACTTTTGAATATTGTTGTTCCAATTTTATATACTTACTAAATATGGTATCAAATAGGGAATCAAAATATCTATTAGTAACCAGGGGTTTTGAGCCTTCCAGAAGACCTAACAAATACACATTCTTTGAATCGATATTTATTGATATTCTTATATGATCACTCGACAAATCTTAGTTTTTCAAAACTCATAACTAAGCCAAAAAAGCCAAAATTTCAATTCGGAAAGCATTTCTATGTTAGCTTTTGTTAGGTTAATAAATCTGCATACGCAATTTAAATGTTAAAAAAAATTCACATTTTTGCCAATTTATGACAATTTTAATGATGTAACTAACCCCTTATAAAATTTTGAAATTTTGAAAAAATTTAGAAAATTAATTTCTTGACCGGAGATACATGGAAAGATTCGACTGTTGATTCTGATCAATAATATATATGATTTATAAGGTCGGAAATGACTCTTTCACTGCTTTGCAAGCTTCTGACTGAAATTATAATACCCATCGAGGGTATCGGAATGTTCTTCAAGTAATCCCCATTATCAAGTTTAAGCGGTACTCCGTGGGCTGTATTGGTCACTTAGCTCCGTATTTGGCGAGACTCACAATGCGCAGCCATTAGCCGCTACAAATGTTATGTAGATCGTGTCGAATGTAACCCCTTCCCTGCGGTGAGGCAGACTCCACCCCTCTGGTAAGAGCCCTCCTCCTCCGATCGGGCTAATTCCCCACCCGCCTCCGAGTTACGGTATCGTTAGTGGCGATCTGAGAGTCCGGTCAGCAGTCAACAAGAACCGTCAGAAGGCCGGCCGGCAATGCACACAAAAAAAATATAAGAAAGATTAAACTTATTCGTATTGATTAGATCTTTAATAGATCGTTCCTTATCTTATTACTATGAAATATTAACCCAAGAACTATATAATTAGAATCTTAAAGAGAAAAGCTTCATATTCATTAGCATCATTCATATAAGCAGATTAATACAAATCAATATTCATCATAACAGCTGTATTTTGCGAAGATATTAGACCCCCTTCATGCCAATATTTGTTTTCTGTGTGTTCATCCGCGTTCTGTATTGACATGGAGGCGGGTAAATAACCTCTCAGCTTGCCCCGAAAAAAACCCACAAAAAGGAGAAACAGAGTCGCAGAAACACTTGGTACAAATGAGCGCGTAGTCAAATCTGCGATCCGCGAATCACTATAACCGAGCATAACTCAGGCTCCGGCTTCTGCTTTTGCCGGTGATCATGATCTCGGGGGATACGTGCTCTCGTGTACCTGTTTTGTTTATACCCTCGTACCTGTTGGCATTGTAGATTTAATCTTAATACGAATCGGGCAGGGATGATGGCGATGATGATGACGCCGCGTAATTTATGAACTTTTCAATTAGAACTTGTCTCCGGAAAATTAAATTCTCCTCGCGTTGTGCCTAATCCTTGTTTAAGCTAAGCCAACGATTATTTGCAATGCTGTCGCTGTCTCGAATGCCCATTATCTTTCTAATTAAAGCTGTCACTTGGCCGTTTTGTTGGAGGTAACATGGCTCCGGGTTCTGCCCGGTAACAGTGCTTTATGTAATCCTGCGGTCTTAGAGTGATCTTAGCTAATTAAAAGGCATTCTAATATTACGTTTCGCCTTTCTCCCGGCACGCCGGATCGGGTTTCACGACATACCCGAGACACATTGCGTTAATAACCCCTGACTGGGCACAAGATCAAGGCAGCCCTCTGGCTCGTGCGCAGGCCAAAAGTCAATTGGCCAACACCAAAGGCAAAAAAGTTGGTAGTACGGTCGGCTTTTTGGCTGTGCTGAAGTTGGTGAATATCAGAAGATATCAGGCAGAAATGGTTCAAAATATAATAATATTATAACCAATGCTTGTACAATTATATTAATCATAAATAAATATTTTATTACATCTTAAAAATCATAGAATTGGGCTAGTTTTCGCCTGCAATCAATCCAATTTTATAACGATAATTAACTTGTGGAAATAACTACTACTTGTTTTACATTAATTTTCTCTTTGAGTGGTTTGGTTCACCAACGTTTTCTCTTGGCTGTAGCGCTCTCATTACTCGGTCTGTGTATCAACTTTCTTTATGGTTAAAAATTATTCAAATTTGGCTGCCTGCCGTTTCGAAGGGCCTAGAATATTTTCACGATTTCGCAAGGAGAAAGAGCCAAACTGACTCTGACCCCATCGCCTGGATGGTCTAATATTACTTTGTCTTGGCGCCAAGGCTCCGCCGAATCCTCCTCGACGAAGTTGATTGATTCCGGGCAATTTGAATATCTGTTGCCGGGACCAGGGACCCCAAACTGGGAACGGGAATCGCGAACCTGGACCCGGATTAGAGCCGATAGATGTGCCGCCCATGGAACTGGGACCAGGGAATAGGGAGCAGGGAGCAGGGAGCAGGGAGCAGGGAAATGTGTCAGAGACTGCAACTCGGAGCTGGACCGTTGCTTGGGGCTCTTCATGAACTTAATTTATTTGCAACAAGACGCGCCGGCGCCGTCTGGGTCAAGTGTCAGTCGGTGGAGCTTTGCACTGCGAATGTTTCCGATCATCACTCCTTGATCGGGCCATTAATTTTCGGGCATTTCAATCGGCGTATATTTTTTGGGGATGCATTTTCCAATTTATAATCGAAACCAGTTGGTCAAGTGCGTTGAACTTTTTGCGGATACCGAATATATCCCCAGAGACAAAAGCCTCGTGGCGGTCTTATTTATTTATCAATATGTAGTTCGGTGCCGGTTCCCTTTTCCGCCGCCGCCGAGTTCATTGTCGTCCCCAAAAGAGCGAATTCTGATTTATAAGCGGGTCCAGTCCCTCGGCCTGGAATCTGGCCCATACTCCGCCTTCGGTCCCTGCGTCCCTTCGCGACGGGACTGCGCTTTAATCACGTGCGTGCAATGTGCACATGATGATGCGCCCCAATCCGAATCCCCCATGCATGCTCCGCGGGCACCTCGTCCTCCGCCTCGCCCTGCCCCGGATCCCAATAGCAGGGCGATCCCGATCCCAATCCTCCGACCCCTCTGATGCTCTTGACGAT